TTTTTTTTTTTCTTTTTTTAATGTTTATTCTGAGAGAGTGAGGGAGGGGAAGAGAGGAGAGAGAGAAAATCCCAAGCAGGCTCTGTGCTGTCAGCGTAGAGCCTGACATGGGGCTCAGTCTCAAGAACTGAGATCATGACCTCAGCCAAAACGGAGTCGGACGCTTAACCTGACTGAGCCACCCAGATGTGCCTCATGACACATTCTAACTTCCCCAGTTCTCTAAATGTTTACTTTTGAGTGTTTATTTCTGAAAGAGCAAGGGGGGAGGGTTAGAGGATCCAAAATGGGCTCTGCGCTCGAACTCACAAACCGCAAGATCGTGATCTGAGCTGAAGTCGGCCGCTTCACCGACTGAGCCACACAGGAGTCCCTCCAAACATCTTTTTACGTGTATTTCCGTTTTGCGTTGCAGTTAGTTACTATTTCTTATAGCCTTTTGAAATCTAGAGCAGGATCAGGGTGGCAGTCTGGAACAAGTCAAACACAGTTCCGGATATACTTTGAAGGGAGAGCCAACAGAATTCACTCAAGGACCAGATGTAGGGAATGAGGAGGCAGGGTGGCTTCAAGGTCTGACTTCTGTGCCTGGAAGCATGGAGTGGCCTTAACTGAGGCAGAAGGCAGGCAGTGAGGGGAGGTGGGGCGGGGGAGGCCAGGACCCCTGTTCTGTACATACCCACGACGATGTGTCTCATGTCCAAATGTGGGCCTGGAGTTCAGGGGAGTTGGCAGCACCGAGTCACGAGCTCTGAAGGGAGTCACTGCACAGTAAGAGTTAACAGAAAAGGGAAATGAGACCCAAGGAGGAGAGTAGGTGTTCAGGGAGGAGGTAGGATCCGCTGGTCAAACCCTCCAGAAAACTCACAGATGAATAAGGCCCATGAGTCAAGATTCGCACTCAGAACTCAACTCTTCTCCCGGCCCTTTGGCAACGCTGCTGCCATCAACCACCTCCCGCCCAGACAGGACCTCAGCAAAGCCTCAAAGACCCCCCCTGGAGATGGTCACACGGGACGGAGAACCCCAGACTGGTCGTGTGGACTGGAAGAGGACACATCATCCCCTCCCCTCCCACATCCCTGTTCCTCTGCGCCTCTGGCTTTGATGGTGAAAACGGACGGTGCCAGGAAGGACACGTTTATGGCTCAGTGAGTGTCCTGGAAATCTACCGTGGGGGACAACGAAGCCATCCTCTCCTCAAAACGTCACCTCACAGCAGAGATCCCGGGCAGAAAGTTACATTCTTACTGCTTCGTCAGAAACCTTTTCAAATAGCTTTTGAAACTGTAGTTTATAAATCCAAGCCCCTGCCCCCGCCCTCCCTTGAGGAATAAGGCCTCCCCTACTCACCCCAAGGCAGCCCTTGAAGGGCTGGGTGTTGTGACAAAGCCTGTCACTGCCATGAATTGCGGAACAGGGGTGCGGTGGTCTCCAACCTCAGACTGAACACTCCCCTCCCTTCCCTCGTGAGTTAAGGGATAAGCCTTGTCCTAAATCTTAGCCTGTGGCTGCACTGCCCAGAGCAAAGACCCCAGTGGGTCTTCCTCCAGCGCCCCAGCATCCTCCCTCCCGACACCGCACATCCCTTCCTCCCGGACCTTTCTCCTTGGCACTCCCCGTTACCCGACTCATCCTGCGCTTGCCTTACGTGTTGCCGGTGGCCACACACACGCAGACCCGCCGAGGACGCCGCTGCGTGTCTTCTCAGCGCTGGCATCTCCCGCCCTTGCAGCCCGCCCGGCACCTGCTGGGCGCGCGGTGCTTTCGGAGCGGACCCGCTCTCGCCGGGTCCCGCTTCGGATCTGGGTCCCCAGAGGGCTGAACCACGGCCGATCGGTCCCGTCGTCCTCGGGTACTGAGCGCCCACTGTGTACGCGGCACCGGGCCGGGGGGTGGGGCGCGGCGGCCGGAAAGTCACAGCACCGTCGCCATCCCCGCCCGAGGGAAGAGGCCGGGGGCCACGGAAGCCCAGGACCCACAATGCTTTGCGCCCCGCCCCGCGCGTCTCTTTCGGCGGAGCCAGGCCTGGCTAGTCGAGCACCGCGCGCTGGCGGCTCGGCGCTCGGCTGGCGGCGCCTGCGCACGCGCGGCTTCCGGCGAGGGCGGTCGGGCGGCGTGGTGAGGGTGGCGTGGCGAGGGGGTCGTGTGTGTGTCTCCTAGGAGAGTCCCAGAACCCGCGACCATGGCCTCTCTGCTCGCCAAGGACGCCTACCTGCAGGGCCTGGCCAGGAAAATCTGCTCCCAGCCCAGCCCGGAGCCTCAGAAACGCAAGTCCGGTACAGCGCAGCCGGGGTCGGGCCTGGCAGGGCTGGGGGTGGGGTACGCCCCTGCGCCGCCCCGCGCAGCCTGCGGGTGGGTGAGACACGTGGGTGCGTGAAGCAAGCCCGTAAGATGATGGAAAGACTCTTAAGGGTTATGTACAGTTGTCACTGTTTCCCTGCTTGTGGGCATCAGCTCGGGGGTGCCAGGGAACCCACCGGGCCGGAGGCCCCTGCGGGGCTTGCAGGAGGTGACCCGATGGGATGGGGGAGGTAGGGAGAGGGCGGGAACGGGACGGCTCCTACCAGTGGGGTTTACCGGGAAGTCCGTACACAAGCAGGTGAGACAGAGGTTGGCACTTGTGAGTGCTGCTTGGACCCGAAGGGGCAGGGAGCATCAGCGTCTGACAGGCAGCTAGACGGAGAACGGCCTTTTGTCTTTATGCCAGGCAAACTTACTCATTACCGGAAGTTAGGAAAATTGAGGTTTCTTAGCACTGGGTTGTAACTTGATACGTCAAAAGATTAGTTTTCCTTCTGTGAGTGTGTCTCAGCGTTTTAAAAAGTCTCGTTTCGTACTCAGTGTACTCTTTTTGTTAGCTTAAGTGTAAATATCTTTTGATCCCTTAAAAAAACAAAAGCCTGTGTTCTTGTTTTTGACGGCTAGGTGGTGCTTTGTAACGTGATAGGTGGCTTAACTTGTGCTTGTAGGTGAGTATTCAGGTTTTTCTAGTTTTTCCCTGCGATGAACATTTTTGAAGTCAGCAGTGTGGATGTATTGGATGTATTGCAGGGTTTTACCACCTGTGGCCAGTCTCCTTTCTGGGTTTGTGGATGGCTCTGAGCTTTACAAAAGGACAGGGGTCTCTGCATGCTCCGTCCTGATTCGCCTACAGTATCCTGGGATCAAAGGCTTTGCAAAACTTTCATGCAGGTTGGATGGGTCACAAAGGTTAGGACTGCAGCCTTTTATGATTTTGTATTTCAGCCAGCAAAACTCGAGGCTCAGAAGCTTCTGGGCCCCCAAAAAAGAAGAGGAAGAAAGCGCAGAAGAAATCCTGGGAGAGGGAGGAGAAGGCTGTGGAGCCAAAAGCCCAACCCCTAGGGGAGAAGTCTCCAGCAGCTTCCAAGGCCAGAAACCCAGCAGCAGCCACGGAGGAAGAGGCCTTCACCTCCACAGGATCTCCTGCAGGTGGAGATGTGGGCAGGGCTGACCTGCCTTGAAAACGTGGCCTTGAAAACGTGGCCCTCTGTGGACATGAGAAAATATGGTGTCACGCACATTTTTGGGGTGTTTTGAGACTTTCTAGAGAGCAGGTTTTCAAGGGACAGATCCCAGGGAATACATAGTGGTTCTAGGCCATTTGGCATTGGGGTCTGGTGAGGGGCAGGGTCATGTTCCCCTGAGGACCTTGCCCCGAGGAGGCTCTCACTGCCTGCAGGTGTCCAGAGTGGCATCACGAGAGCTGACCTGTTGGGAGAGGTGGGGGGAAGCCCCGCCTGCAGAAATTGGAAGAAATGAGAGATGGGTTTGTCTGGACCCATCAGAAGCATTTTGTCTTATCGCACGGGGGTGTTCTGTTCTGGGGGCCAGTCCAGCTTGGGGAGTGGAGAGTAGTATTTACTAGAACTGTCCTGCAGGTCGACGAGTGGCCACTTGGGGAGTGGGACAGTGTGTGGGGTTTCAGGCTTTGAAGCTGGACCTTGGGAAAAGGGACGGGAAGGTCAGGCAGGGGGTTTTCTCTTAGCTCCCCACTTCTTTCCTCACAGACGTCGAGGTCGCAGAGTCCGAGTCTTTGTTTGCCCTGGATGTTCTGCGGCAGCGGCTACGTGAGAAAATACAGGAGGCCCGGGGCCAGGTAAGTTGGGGAGGCTGCTGGGGTGTAGGAAGCAGTGTGGTTTTCTGCAGTGGTTTTCCTGCTCTGCGTGGAGGAGAAAGTACCTTGGTGCCCTTTGTGGGCTTGGTCCTCAGTTCTGCCAGCCACTGTGGGCAGCCGCTGTTCCCACCCCTGCAGCAGGTCTTGCCAGGGCCATGGCAGTTTTGGTTGGCAGGGGATCAGGTGTAGTTTCCAGCATCTTGGGGAGACTCAGTTCCCACGGTAACCTGCTTTGTATAGTCTGTGCTGTGGGTTCCCTGTGTCCTTGGAGAGAGGCTCAGTCTGTCGAAGGAAGCTGCCTTTGTTGGACACGACACCGGGCAGCGCTTTGTCCTCTTCACGTCCCGATAGCTCTATGAGGTGGTGAGGGTCTGCGATGAGGTGACTGCTACAGGAAGCACCAGACCTAACCCTCCTGGATTTTTTGTGCTGAGTGACATAATCTTTTCACTTAGCCACCACCTGCCCTTTCCCTGGGGACGTACCCTGGGCCTGTTGCTGTATAGGACAGTCCCCCAGCTTCTTTGTGCAGTGCCCTGGGACAAGCCTGGGGATCGTTCCTAAGGGGCAGCCTGAGCTCTGGCCTGGCCTGGCCTTCCTGCATGCAGGTCTGGGTCAGTCTGGTAGTGTTCTCTTTTTGGCCTCCAGACGGAAAAGGCCATCTGTGAGAGCAGAGGTTAGGTGAGTCACCGGCAGAACAGCGCCATAGTCAGCATGGGCATTGAGCGTCCTGATCTGATGCTGAGTTCCAGATGGTGTCCTTGGCTAGGCCTGTCCTCATCTGCAAAACGATGGAGGACACACCTATGTCGAATTATTCGTAAGGGGCCCTGGTGCAACGTCCGTGTCTGGGAACTGGAAGCCGTGGTTCTTACCTGGGGGTCCTCGTGTCCTTTTTGGGGTCCCTTGGATTCCGGGTGACAGGTCGTCTCCCGGGGGAACACTGAGCTCAGTGAGCACCTCGTCTTGCACAAGTGTTTCCTCACCCGCTTTCCTGCCCTGATTCCACATCCCAGACCGGGGGCCCCGAAATTGGGAGGCCCTCGTGAGGGAGCCCTGACTCTCCTCCTCCTCCTCCTCCTCCTCCAGGGCAGCACCTCGGAGCCGTCTCCCGCGGCTCTGGAGAAAAGACGCCGGAGGAAGCAGGAGCGGGACCGCAAGAAGAGGAAGCGGAAGGAACTGAGGGCGAAGGAGAAGGTGGCAAAGGCCACGGAGGCTGTCGAGCCGCCCCGCGAGGCACCCCGCGAGCCACCGCGAGAGGAGGCACAGCTGGGGCTGCTCTTCAATAAGGTGAGAGGCAGGTGCGGCCGTGCAGGCGCGGGGACCCGGGCTGTGCCCCCCCCGGCTGGCCACGTGGCCCGTGTCCCGAGGCCGCCCGTTCGCGGAGGCGGGTGGCGGCAGTGCCTGCCCCTGGGGGCGCTCACGGGGGCTCACGGGAGAGGCGCGCCTTGAAGCTGGAGTTCACTGGGGTTGCCGCCCGCAAGGTGGAGGTGAGCGCGGGGGAGCCGGCCGGCAAGGCCCAGCGCCGGAAGGAGAAGAGGCAGAAGCTGAAGGGGAAGCTGACGCCGCTGACGGGGAAGAACTACCGGCAGCTGCTGGAGCGCCTGCAGGCACGGCAGGGTCGGCTGGCCGAGCTGCGGGACCAGGACGAGGGGAAGGCGCGGGAGCTGGAGACCAAGATGCAGTGGACCAACCTGCTGTACAAGGCCGAGGGCGTGCGGATCCGGGACGACGAGCGCCTGCTGCAGGAGGCCCTGAAGCGCAAGGAGAAGCGGCGGGCGCAGCGGAAGCGCAGGTGGGAGAAACGCACGGCCCGCGTGGTCGAGAAAATGCAGCAGCGGCAGGACAAGCGGCGACAGAATCTGCGCAAGAAGAAGGCGGCCCGGGCCGAGCGGCGTCTGGACAGGGCTCGCAGGAAGGGCCGCATCCTGCCCCAGGACCTGGAGCGGGCTGGCCTGGCGTGAGGACCCAGGCCGCGTCCCTGACCGGGGGCTGGGGTGACGCCGGGCGGGGCTCGGTCGGCGCTCTCTGGGCCCCTGGGCTCGCGGGCTCCGTGGGCTCAGCTCGCGTGTGGAAGGGACGGTGTCTGGAATGGAGGTCCACGTCTCTTGGACCCCGGTAAGGAGTGACCGGGTCCGGGTTCCCGCCTTCTCTTGGGAGGCCAGACAGCTCCCTGGAAGTGTGCAGGGTGGAGGTGCAGGGGGGCACCTCCCTGGCCCCTTCTTCTCCCAGTTTACACGAGCAGGGCGGGAATGGCCTTTGGGACTGCCCGTGTCTGTGCGCGGAACTCGCCTGGAAGGGAGGGATCTCTGTAGATCGAGCCAGAGGTGGAGTCTCCGGTGAGGGCGAGCTGACCTGGGTGTGGCCGGAAGGGAGTTATCTGGGGTTTGTTTGTAGGAGGAACAAAAGGTAGTGCTTAGGTGAACACACGTTCAAAGTCTCAGGGTGCCTGCTAGATCTGCACGGTGTGTACTAGGCTGGAAAGAAAGGGGGAGACAAAGGAAAAACCGAAGCTCAGACTCAGCGAGGGAAACGAAAGATGCCCAGTACGGCAGCGGGACTCCACGCAGACCTGCAGGGGGGCAGAAGGGACGCAGACGTGCAAAACCCCGGGGCGGGGGGGGGGGGGGGGGGGGCTCACGGCACGTAGATCCTGTTGGGTTAAAGCTGTTAATAGAATCGTTTTGACTCGGGTTCACTTAAGAAACAGACTGCAGAAGGCCACCTGGGTAGCTAATGACTGAGCTAAGCGTCCAACTCCTGATTTCGGCTCAGGTTGTGTCTCCTGGTTCATGAGTTCTAGCCCCAAGGGAGGCTCCACGCTGGCAGTGCGGAGCCTTCCTTGGATTTTGTCTCTCTTTTCCTCCCCTGCTCGTGCTGTCTGTGTCTGTCTGTCTGTCTCTGTCTCACGATAAGTAAACTTAAAACGTACCCAGCGGACTGTAACGGAAAGGCTGGTGTGGCCAAAGTGGACAAAGCTGACTTGACAACGAACGGCAGCGTGAGGAGTAAAGAACGCCCGCCCCCGCCCCCCGGTGGAGGGGTTCTGTGCTCCCAGCAGGCAGAGCGGCTCTGACGACCCCGGGACTGGAGCCTTGTGTCTGCCCAGAGCGGGAGATTTCTGATTCCTTTCCTAGGCCTGGAGACACCAGGCAGAAGTCTGGTGGATGTAGAAGGTCCGGAGGAGAGTCACGAGCTCGATCTGGCAACACAGAACGGCGTGTCTGGAAACACACGCTTTGCGCGTCTCTGAAGCAGCCATGAGAACTGAGCATCTGGTCTGTAAAGGACGTTTTCGTTTCAAGGAGTCAGACCAGGTGTGGTGTCCGGCCACGGCAGGGTTTCGTCGTCAAGGTCAAGAGGTGGTCAGAGTTTCACGTTTGGAATTTTAAAAACACACTCTCGAGTTTACCTGTGGGTGGTTGTGGGAGGCGGAGCCTGACTCCCAGGTGTCCGTGCTGAGCGTGTGTCCTGCGGCAGGACTCCTCCAGGGACAATAGTGGGCAGTGGGATGTGGCCAAGGGAAACTCCCAGGACGAGTCTGGGAGGCCCGATAGACCCCTGTTGGGTGTCGTCGCCTCCAGTGTGGGAAGACAGTGCAGCGTGGTGGGAGAAATCTTCAAGGGCCTAATGTCAGAACGTTTCCAGAGCCAGATGGTGGAAGCTCCCCCTCCCGGGGTGGAGGGGATTGGATGAAGGTTGTCCCAAGCGGAACACCTGCCCGGAACAGTGGTTCCAACTGTCCCGAAGGCCGTGGCGGTGGGAAAAGGAATAAAGGGAGAAAGCTCACTGAAATGGAGTCGGGAGGCCGGAGAGAGGAGCACTCTTGCACTGTGCCGACTTGCGTCCATCGTGGGAGGAAGTGTCACCGACCCAGCAGAAGCGTCCTCGACAGGAAAGCGTCGTGATCACAGGCTCAACAGGGAAGGACGCTGTACCTCCTGTGAGACACCCAGCGACCCGGCCAGCAAGGAATGGCCCTCGCCCTGCGCTGTGAGTCTCTGGGTCAGGACAGCCCTTCCCAGCGTCCTCCTCGTAAAATAATCCCCTCTTTGTTGGATTTGCCTGTGGTTTTGCCCTAGTTTGCATGTCCCGGGTTGCAGTTCTCTGCTATTCTAAATAAACACGTTTTGCTGGTAAGGTAACTAGTAATTGTATTATTATTATTTTTAATGTTTGTTTTTGAGACAGACTGTGTGAGCAGGGGAGGGGCAGAGAGAAGAGGGACACACAGAATCCAAAGCAGGCTCCAGGCTCTGAGTTGTCAGCACACAGCCTGACGCTGGGCTCAAACCCACGAACCGTGGGATCGTGACCTGAACCGAAGTGGCTGCCTAACGGACTGAGCCACCCAGGTGCCCCTGGTGGTTTTATTTTTAAGCTCAGCACTAGTCTCCTTTCGCCACTGGCCCTTTGGGTGAGTCTGGGAAGGAGCACAGCCTGCCTTCCCTCCTGTCCAGGGGCCCTAGGACTTGAGCTGATGGACATTGAGGAATTCAGTGAGTGGCTGGGACCAATCAGGCAGCTCAAGTGAGGTTTCTGTTCATCAGATCTGGTGGGGGTGGGGCGTGCAGAGAGAGCTGTCTCTAGACCCTGGTGGGTCAGCTCATCCAGTTCACTGCACCAGTCACGGGAGCCTTGCGTACATGGCCTGTGGGAAGAAAAGTGCTGTGTGTTCCCTGCGGTCAGGTCCTGACACCTGCGTCGGCCCTGAGCTCAGTTCTGGTTTCATCCCAGCACTCCAGCTTCGGAGAAGAGCTGCCGTGTGCTGCTTCTCCAAGATGCCTGAACGCGCACGTGGCAAAGGTGTGCCTCTTGGATCCTTCCCAGACAACCTGTTGGGCAGATGAGCAGGTAACAGGGTCACTAAGGCCCTTCCAGCAAGCCTACGTCTCCACTGGGGCGTCTGACCTTCCTCTTATTCCAGGGAGTTTCCAGAAGCCTCGCTTACCTTAGTGTGCACTTCAGGGGACTCCAGGTTTTGGCTGAGCAACAGAGGAAGTCACCGAATCCTTCCTAGTTCCCTAGCTAGCCTGTGGACTCTTGATGCCAAATGGAAGCCAATCTGAGATTACGTCCCGGGGAGTTGTTTCTAGAGAGCACGTTGTGAGTCCTGCGGGGTGAACGAGGCAGTTGCCGAAACGTGAGCAACGTTCTGGTCTCCAGGCTCTGGAACGTGATAGCTTGAGTTTGGAGCCTTGATCCCCCAGAGGAGAGATACAGAATCGGCTGGAACTTCCTGGCACTCCTCAGAGCCGCACGCACTCCTGGGCGTTTTCACAGAACCGTTCATACTTTGAACTCTTCGATGACTGTATCTGATGAAATACAAAAGAACAGCTACGTGCAGTTCGCTGCTGCTGCTGCTGTTTCACTGGCCGAGGCAGCCCGGCATGGCTGCTCAGTCCAAGTGTCTGGGAAGGTTTTCTTCGGTGCACGGCTACGGCAGCCCTCCTTCCTGGCCGGGCACTGCCCACATGTTCCGAGACGTTCCCCTGGATTTTCTCCAATACCAAACGGCAAACGTTTCTGTCCCATTTAGTGAATTGAACCTTCCTACTTTGGCCTCGTAACTGGGTGCTCAGAGCCTGTTGGGGTCCGACTCTGCTTGTAGGTCTAGATACCAGGCGGCGAGGTGGCCTTGGGGATGAGGACGCTGGCTCCTTGCAGTTTTGCTGTGAAGTTGAAACCGCTCTTGACGGTAAAGGTTATCAGTTGAGAAAACAGGCCGACCAGACATTGGATCCGAAAGCTTTTGTCTGGAAGTGCCACGTGTTCTCACACTCCGCTGGTCACATCACGTGGCTGCACATAACTTCCAGTGGGGACAGAAACGCAGCCCACCTGGTGCCCGGGGGAAGAGCCAGGAAGTTTTGTTTTTTGGGTTGTTAAAAATTTTTTTAATATGTATTTTTGAGAGAGAGGGAGCACGAGCCGGGGAGGGGCAGAGAGAGGGGGAGACACAGAAGCCGAAGCGGGCTCCAGGCTCTGAGCTGTCCGCACAGAACCCGACGTGGGGCTCAAACCCACAAACCGTGAGATCATGACCAGAGCCGGAGTCGGAAGCTTAACCGACTGAGCCACCCGGGCGCCCCAGGAAGATCCCTGTTCTTAAATGTGTTTCAAAATGGGAATTAGCGTGAGGTCTGTAATAATATCACACGATACAAGAAAGCAAAGAAAAAAAGCAATCACCTCTATGAAAGAATGCCCAAAGTAGAAAAATGACCTTAACGGAGGAGATGGTGAGTCAGCAGAAGGGTTGAAAACTACGAAAGGGTACCCGGCTGGCTTAGTCGGTGGCGTGTGCGACTCCTGATCTCGGGGTGTGGGTTCAAGCCCCATGCTGCACATAGAGGTGACTTTAAACATCAGACAAGCTCGGAGAAAAAGTGGAAGTAAAGTAAGTCATCATGGAAATAAAATTAGAAGGAGCAGACGAAGAATAAACACTCCTAAAATTTCACACACCAAGAAGCATAATAAAAGACAAGGAAATGAAACGGGACAAAGCGTTAAGGCGCAAAGAGAAATCCCAAAGTATTGAAAAAATACATCAAAGGAAACCAACCAAAGTGAAAGGTCTTTCAGAGCTGTAAAGAGCAAAACAAATTCGGGGCGCCTGGGTGGCGCAGTCGGTTAAGCGTCCGACTTCAGCCAGGTCACGATCTCGCGAGGTCTCGCGTGATCTCGCGTGAGTTCGAGCCCCGCGTCGGGCTCTGGGCTGATGGCTCAGAGCCTGGAGCCTGTTTCCGATTCTGTGTCTCCCTCTCTCTCTGCCCCTCCCCCATTCATGCTCTGTCTCTCTCTGTCCCAAAAATAAATAAACATTGAAAAAAAATTAAAAAAAAAAAAAAAAAAAAGAGCAAAACAAATTCAAAGAACTTCACGGGACCAAGAGTAAACATCGCCCCAGCTCCCTTATCAAAGGGGCAGAGTTTCCACTCGGACCACAAAGTGAGCC